TCTTCGACCTCTTCGACCTCTTCGACCACTCCGACCTCTTCGACCACTCCGACCTCTTCGACTACTCCGACCTCTTCGACCACTCCGACCACTCCGACCACTCCGACCACTCCGACTTTCCAGAATTTCACCGGCCGGGAGGACGTTTTTTCAAATATTTCTGTGGCTATTGAAAATAATCCCGAACGATGATTCTGAATATGGGAGATGACAAATTGCATACTCCAAAACAGTAATAGCTAGATGCACGTGTGAAAAATGGCGCTTCCTGAAACGCTATCTGTTTAGTCATTTTGGAGATTTTCACTTTATTTTTAATGTGAGACAATGAATTCTTGAAAGCGAGAATGAAAGTTTATTAATTTTCAATAATTGAAAGATATCAATAGTAAATAAAAGAATTATTCAATGTAATGAAAATATTGATATTCACATTTACCTATTTTTAAATATGTTAACGAAAAATTAGATTGCACGATTTTAAATTAATTCTCTAAGAAAAGTAAACGACAGAAAGGAACAATATCTCCGCAACTGGTTGAAAATCGGAAGAAAAGGAGTCATTAATGTTGATTTTAAAATACAATAATCCTCATTTCCTTTCAAGGAAAGGAACAATGTCCAGTTCCATGGGTCCTTGCACCTGAGTGCCAATAACCGCAACATCTCCGTCCCCTTCCCTGTCGATTGCCTTGAATAGCGCACTCGCGGCGGGCGGCCTATCCATCCATCCACCCGAACGCCGGCCGCACCGGAGCGCGAAGCAGCGCGCGCTGCCCAAGTGCGCGCTCTGAATCGAACTGACAAGCCGGCTGCACGTAACCAGCGGAGCGGGGTCATTTCATTAGCGGATAGTTCGGAGACGTAAACAATTCAGCGGCGAGCGGGCGAGGAAGCGCGGGGGGGGGGAGGGCTGCGGTGGTGGTCGCACCGCAACGTCACCCGCGACGAGCCCTCCCTCGCCCGACGGCCGGCGCGGCCCTCAAACAATTCGGGGCCGGATTATGCCGCGTTACGGCGCCGGCACGCTAATTGTGTTGTCACGTCGAGCAGGTGGCTTAACCCCGCCCATGTCGGTTTCCGGCGCGAACGACGCCCGACCGCCGCGCCACGTTGCGCCGGCCCCGGCGTTGCGGCCGCCGCCGCCGTCAGCCGCGAGGAATTAGCCCGCGCCGAGCGCTGCCTGCGCAAGCCGCGAAGGCCCTGAAAACGCCGTTTGCGGACGACTGTCTAGTTACACTTTTTATTGGCATAGCCATTGGGAGATTTAATTTCCAACTCTTGAATAAATTATTTGCTCTAATAAAAAAATGTGAACTCTCATTTGGAGCTTTATCCTGCTCCAGAAAAGTTGTGAAAAACGTCAGGAAAATAGTATTCATTCGTCAATTGAAAACATTTCTCATAATGACATCATGTAAAAAGTGTTGTCAAACTTGCGTCTTTTAAGTGTTTCTGATTCTTATTGTAGCAAGATTCATAATTCTATTACCTGAAAATTTTGAAAACATTGACACAATAACTGTTAAAGTTTTAAGTGTTACAAATGATAAGGTAATGACCATTAATAAGGTAAAAAATAAACCGCACTTAATATCAATAAAAAAATTGTCAAGTTAATAGTTAATTACAATACTCTACGCACACAAAGATTGCATTGTTGGTTTTACAATTTCCTGGAATTATTAAACATTTGTAATGATGTGTGACAGTTATGATTTCATATATTCCTGCCAGCAAAACTGCGTAATAGCAATTCGCTCATACAAGAGCTGTCAATCAATGTAAATGGCAAATAGAGGTTGTCCAATTTTCGAACTTCAAAACAGAGCAAATGATTGTGGAAATTATCATACGCTTTACTCCGACTCCCGGTACATATGAACGTAAATAGCATCATCGTTTCATGCTATTGCACGGTAGAAAACGCCAATGTAATTTTCTGCACAATTTCACATAGTTGCAATACGGCATGGACGACACGAAACTGACATGTAATCATACACTGTTGCGTAAAGCATGTCTTTGATGGATATTATAATGTAAATTTCATAAAATTAAAATATGACCTTTCAATTACGCATTCCATGTTGAATACTCACTAAAACCTACATCACCCTAAAGAGACAGAAAAAAATAGGCATAACATACAACGACATATTCAAAACAACAAAGAAGTCTTTGAACTGTCTCCAAGAAAATTAAAAGTCGCTTTCATAATTTTACATATATCGTACATAGAAACCGTTTCCGAGAGAATACGCGAGAAATTATTCTACCAACGACCGAGGAATAGGTCTAGGCTGTTATAATTCAAAATCCCCCCCGAACAAATCGAGCTCGACTAAATGAGTCTTAACTAAATTCCTCCGCCCGACTTACTTAAAGAGAACTTCCCGAGGTTACGAAGGCCCCGTTTCCGCGGGAGCAGCCAGGGCCTCCGCAGCCACTTGCGGCGCGGGTCGCGGAGGTCCAATTAGGGGTGCGTTTACGCGCCAGTGATGCAACGCGAGTTGTTCTTCCTTTTCTCTTCTCCTCCTCCCGCCCCGCTTCCATTTCCGCCCCGCGTTCCGCTCGTTCAGCGGCGCAGTGACTGTGGGCGAGGCTGCACACTCAGAAGAAGAGAAGACTCCTCCGGAGCGCGTTCCCAACACCCGATACCCACAAAAGGTTTCGCCGGGTAATTAATTATACAAGACGATGTGCAGCTGCGGTTGCCGAGAAGGCAGTTTCTTCTGGAGGCCGGCCGCGTCCCGGGCAACAGGTTAAGAGCTCGCGCCAACTGCAAAATGAAACACCCTGCGCATATGTAAGTAGTTTCCGCCACATTTGCTGCGAGGAACTGCGCGCAAAGACGGCTTTGAAGGCTCTTTGCGGTGTCGTTCGTTCTTGATGTATTCTTAACAAAGCACCGCAACTGCGGGCGCGGCGTTTCTTCATTTCGTAAAGGAACGCGAATGCCGAACAGAGATTTCCCGACGAGTACTGTTATAATGAGGCCCACAAGGCAGGCCTGGCGCGCGGGCTTAGTTATCTCGTTCTGATACAAAAGCCCGAGTAAGATACGACTTCGAACAAATGGCAGAACATTTAGCGGAACGTACGCCCTCGAGGCATCGGGGGTACGCATCTACAATAATTAAAGTTGTGGCGTGACATTTTCGCAGGCTGTATCTCGCCCCAGCGCTAATGAAACGCAACACAAACTTCGATGAGTAATTTGCACCGAAAAGGGTGCGGAGACCGCCGCGAAGGGTAGGCTGGGGACCCGTAGGAAGGGCGGCAGGGGCGGAGAGTGACGGGTAGAGGCGCGTGTGGCGGCGTCCGTGGCGGGAGGCCAGACAGAAAAGGGGAAGTTGGAATACCACAGAGACAGGGAATCCGCAAGAATGGCAGCGTGGCGCGGCGAAACAAGGAGGAGTGTGGCGAGACGCAGCGGGGCGCGGCTGGGAGGCGCGGCGGGGCGGGACGTGGCTTGGCGCAGGGGGAGAAGGCGAGGTGGGGCTTAGCGGGGCGATGCGAACCGGGGTGCGGGGGGGGGGACATCCTGGTGGCAGAGCGTGACGGGCAGAGGCGCAAACGGCGGCGGTCGCCGGGACGGGAGGGGACGGCCGTGAGTCAGCGCCGTTGTCGTTGATCGCGCGGCATCTCCTGCTGCGTCCCGGTGCTAATCGTCGGCCGCCGCCTCCGCCGCCGCGCTCCCTCGCTCACCCCGTCTACGGCGCGCGCGATAAGGGCGTCGTCTGACACGAGCCAGCCGCCGCCTCCCTCGGCGCCGCCAGGCTGGCGCCGACCTCCCTGCAGTTCCGCCGTCTCTGTCGCCCTCTGTTTCCCCTGCCGTGCAACTGTCTCCTCGCTGGCACGCGCTCACGCCCCTCTTTCCATCCTCTTCTGCCCTTTTCCTGCTCTATTCCGTTTTTGATTTCTGTGTCCGGATTCCGGTATTCTCTTCCTAGGTCATCTTGTCAGTTAGTCCACTTTCTCAATTCCCTCATTGCATTAGTAGACTTTTTCTATAAAGTACATGTTGTCATTACTCTTCCCCTCTGTCAGTCCGATTATATCCCTATCCTTTTGAATGAGTCTCTCGTGATACCACGTAGCTGTTCAGCCAACATTTCATTTATCCTCTCACACTCTCTGGAGTCATTGCTCCCTAACTCTTTCCTCTTCGTTAACTTCAAGTTCAAAAATCTCTTCTTTCCAATTTCACCTTTTCTACGACAATTGCTCCGTTCCAGTCTTCGCAGCCACACTCATTCCCTTCCCGTCTTCTCCATCTTCCCGCTCTTCCTAGATATAATTTTCTGGCTCCACCGCGTCCTAATTATCACACGCTCCTCGCGTCTCTCTTTCCCTTCTTTCCCCGCCGGGCTGCGGCCGCCGCCAGAGACCTCCTCGCCCCCTCCCCCCCGCCGCCCGCCCGCCCGCGCCCGCGACACCGGCGCGGCAGATTAGCCCCCGGCGCGCAGATTCCGCGAGAACATCCTCCGGAAAATTGCCGCTCCGCTCCGCTCCGCCACTGCGCAGAGGTGAACGCGGCGCCACGCACGCCCGCCCTCCCCCGCCCGGCCTCCCGCCCACCTCCCCCCGCCCCGCCCTGGGCCCGCTCACTGCAGCTGCTCTGGCTCTGCCCCGCCCTGCGCTGCGCGCGCTTCGCTGCTTGGCGCTCGCGGCCGGCCCCCGCGACGTGTAATCTAGCAGCAAAAGTTGCTAGCCATACATTTCTAAACAATTGCACACGCGGAAACGCGTACGACCCCAAACATGCCTGGGAAGAGATTAGTTTTTGCCGGGGTGCGCGAAGTTCACGGCATCCAATGTTGCTATTGCTGACGGCACGCAGAAGCGGCTCAGCCTATGTGCTGTAGGCAGTTTTCATTACTTCGAATAAAACCTTTCGCTTTGGCACAATCTGAATTAAAAGATAAAATGTTCACAAGTTACATCATATGTAAAAAGTTTGGTGCAAAAATCAGTGATAGTTTATACAGATGAAAAATAATTCATTACTTATCTTCATTCCCCAAGACTACACTTCAACAAAACAATACTGTTAAGTGCGAAAATATCATATAACGTGTCTATTTTAAGCCAAAATAATACTACTATGATATAATTTAAGTAAATCTCTCAAAAAGAACCCTTTGTGTCTTACCGTTAATACTTTAGAGAATGATGTTTTGTTAATAAAAATTAACCTCTAATTCATATTTGATCGTAAATTTTTCAATAAACATTGCAAAAAAATGTTCTATAACAACGAAATTACAAATAAATTAATAAGTATCTGCAATAGAGAAAGATTACTTACATTATTCCTATATTATAATTACTCATAATTATTTTCGGAATTAATTAAATATGCAAAATACGTCTGCCTCGTGACCACCGTGCGTGGCGAACAAAATAAAAACCAAATTGTTGTTATAGATGAAAAGAGTTCCAGGCGGCTGCTGCAATAATATTAATACACAAATATCATTATGCCCAGGAATTCATTTTAATAATTGTGTTTGTATCCCCGTCTGTAATAATTATTTGCAACTCACAAATGAATGCAATTCATGCCTTGGACATATATTTTTTACGTTCTGTTTCAATAATTCCAGGCGTTTTAATGACCGACATGGGAACAGATCAAGAACGGCACATCCTTCACCTTTGCAGAGTCATAGTAACTCGAAACCACGTGATGGCAACATCTACATTTCTTCTTGTAACGTGACAAATTTTCCAGTCGTGACGTATGCTCCATCAAAAACACAAGTGATTTTTGAAGTATCATCAATAGTACATTTTGACGAAAAAACACATTTGAATCTTCGTGAAATATTGATCGGTGTTCAAATTAATAATCTGACGCCACCGCAGATAATAATTCATCTTATTACAAACTCCTTAAAACAACGGTTATCATCTAATTACTATTGTTTTGTTAACGACATCACTCGTCTAAGTAATTAACAGGAGCCAGTTGCCATTGATTTTGAAGATACTTCACCGGATTTGCAAGTTCAAGTCTAGGCGCACAACCGGAGAATAGAGAGAATTCTGCCATCTGACCGGATTCACTACGAACGTTGAACTTAAACAATGGGAAATGCATCCCGGCCGGACTTCGCAGGCCAAAGTTCGGCTCCACGACGCCCTTCCCCCACACAGAGCCCACGTTGACTGACGCGCGCGTTCCCCCCTGAGTCGCTGCCGCTTAATTACGCGCTCGCGCCGAAAAACATTCAACAGAAAAGCAAACAAACGAGCACAAAAGATGCGCGACTAACTATAAGGGGCGCCGTCACAGTGGAAATTCCGCACAAATCTTGACATGCAGTGAACGGCGGCGGGCGGAGAGAGCTGATCTTTAGGCGCAGCGGCAGGTGCGGTTGTGACGGGCGGCAGGGCGCGGGCGGCAGGCTCGGGCGAGGGCGGCGGGGCGAGGGCGGGCGGGGAGGGCGGCGGAAGGGGGCGGCGGCGACGAGGCGGCGGCGAGGCGGGCGGCGGAGCGGGCGGCGCGCGGCGGCGAGGCGGGCGGCGGGGCGCGGCGGGCGGCGGTGGCGGGCGGCGGCGGGCGGCGAGGGGGGCGGCGCGAGTGCGGGCGGCGGCGGGCGGCAGGCGGCGCGGCGGCGGGCGGCGGCGGGGAGGCGGCGGGCGGCGGCGGGCGGCGCGGCGAGGGCCGGCTGGCGGGCCGGCGTGCGGGCCCGGGGCGCGGCGGGCGTGGCGGCGGGCGGCGGGCCGTGTGCGGCGGGGCGGCGGTGGGCGGGGCGGCGACTGCGAGCGGGCGGCGCGGGCGGCTGGCGCGGCGCGACGGCCGACGGGCGTCGCATGTATGAAGGTGCTCTCTTTTCATCCTCATCCGAGCGCTGCTTTCTTTTTTCCTCGGCCGCCCCTCGCGCGTTAGCGCAGTCTGCGTTTTTATTTGCGCCGCCGCGCGTCGACGTTGTTTTTTTTCCGCGGACGTTTTGTGAGTTGATGGAGTGAGTGCCGGTTCACTATGCAGTGTATCACAGCGGGTAGGAGACGGTGCGAGAGTCATGGCAGGTGGTTTCATTACAAATGCTGTGCCGTATTGATTCAATTTTGGCAACTCCAGCGGAATTCAAGCAGCAATGTTTTTCTAAACTTTCATTGGCGGAAATATTAAAACAGGTATTTTGTACATGGTTTTAATTCACGAGTAAATAGTTCATTCCATTTCTCTTTTACTTCACTTCATATTTTCGTCGATTGCTCTCGCACCTACTTTTCATAGGGAAAAAAGTAGGTATACGAGAACATTATGTCTCAGACAAAATAAGCACAAAAAGAATTTGTGTGAACGATTAACATGCATAAGTCATTGCGAAGAAATGTATCATACTTTTAACAACATGCAATAAAATTCATTTGTAAATTACATAACATACCTATGAAGTAGACGTACACTGAAGACAGAATTGTTCTTACCTGGAAAACAAAAAAAATAAATTTGAATATCAATTAATACTTTTCGAATGGCTAGAACATTTTTATTACAATTTTTTACTATTTTAATTAAACAATGTGTTGTAATTATGTTTTAAGAATCATATTATGCAATGTAACAAAATACACGAAGAAGAAATACAATTATCTTATTTAAATCAAATTTCACACGATTAGTATCCACATTTCTAAACTACACTACAACAGAAACACCTTCTGATTTAATTTCCGCAATCAACCACGTTTAGGCTTTTATAGCACAAAACAATATTTGAACGAGCAACGCATTCCTCAGACAATGGCAACACGAAAGCGCGCTGCCGCGTGCTGAAAGAACGGGGAATTTCAATTTGCGCACACTGGAGCAGCTTGCGGGTAATTAAGCGGCGTAATCGCTCCCTAAGCAATTGCGGAGCCCTGTCGCGGGAGATGTGGGCGAGGCCGATGGAGCGATGGGGGTGATCGGCGGCGCAGGCGATGTAGGCGATATGGGCGCACGCGCGAAGTGACCCACTACCCTCCAAGAGGTGGCTTCGGGAGCGGGCAGAGCAACGTGTAAGGTGGTCGAGGATATAGGAGTTTGAGGTTTCCCGAAAACGTCAAGCAAGGATACGTGAAATCAGAGTATTTTTAGAGTCGCCTTTAGAATTGTAGCGCTACATCATGTCAATTTGAAGTGACTTTAAATTCCCCAATTCTTCACATTTAATTTTTAATGCGTTTATCAGGAGAAATAATTCTCAAAAAAATTAAAGTTAAATTTAATTGCTGCAAGAACATTTTTGTAAACTTAATAACAATTTTAATGTACAAAATTTACTGAGATTTTTATCTTCTTTCTGTACCGACTCCGAATCCACAAATCGAAAACTTAGTTGTTGAAACCTGTCGGTGTAGAGTCCTCGTAACTCTTGGAACCATACTCTGAGAAATAAGTTCTCAGAGTAATAAACTCTAATGTTCCTTTAGCATAACACTCACATTGATCTAAAAGCACACTTTTCTTTCATATTTTTTGAGATTACATGAAAACGTTCTTACACAGTTCCTCTGGGAATGTGTAATCAAAGTATTCAGTTTTTCTACTCTTAATATTTCCTTGATATAGTTGATCTGCTTTAGCTCTGCGATGCGCCTATTGATTTCGCATAATATTTGTCTGTCTAATGTTATACTTCCTACAAGATATATTCAGGAAATTGAAATGGATCAATCATGGGATAAACATCAACGGACGAAATATGAATAACCTCGTTTTACAGGCGACATTGCTTTATTCGCCATCTTATGCCATAAACTACAGATTATGTTCGATGATCTCAACAGTGAAGGTAGAAAGCGGGTCTAAAAACGAACATTGCAAAAGCAAAAATAACGACAAATTATTGCGACGACATAGTGACAGTTTACATTGAAAAAATTGTATATGTAAGGGAATATATCTACCTCGGTCAGTTTGTCTCTTTTGAAACAAATCCAATAAAGAAATAAGTACTTAGGCTGGAAAAAATTCTGGAGCTTCTCATTTATCTTAAACGATAGAAAAGTTAAAATCAACCAAAGAAACTGATTATGGGCTCGTTCATACTACCAACACTCGTATACGGACATGCTCTCTAACCTCAACTCAGATACTCTCACAAGATGCCAGAGAAAAATGGAGAGGAAAATTCTTCACATCAATCTGCTCGACCAAGCAAATAGTGTAGAAATTCGAACGAAAACTGGCATTATAGATGCAGTGGATCAGGTGGATAATTTAAAATGGCGATGGCCAGGACACGTAGCAAGGCAAAACCAACTCAAATGGACACACACCGTTACTACGTGGAACCTAAGGCAAGGTTTGAGACACCCAGGATGACAGAAGAAGAGATGGGTGGACTTCTCCTGTGAAGCAGTGGACGGGACCTGAACCAGAATTCGTTATAAAATAACGAAATAATTTTGATTTGGCAGTATTACACAAAAACTCAGCATCCAAAAAAAGGCAATGCAACTATATTGTGATGTGGTTTTAATGTTAGTCATGAAATGGACTTGAACTAACAGCTGAATATTTCAGAGAATTTAAAAGCTTCGCCCGAGAAGCGAACGCTCAATCTTTCTAACGCCAGTTGTTTATCTCAACCGTCAGTTACTTCTTTGAAGATGTCAGTTCATTGATCTTCTAACTCCCTTAAGTGCTTCCTCATTTGAAATCGCGTTTCTTCAGCTAACTCCCTTCTGTTCCCATTTTACGTTTCTGAACAACCAGTTACCACTTTTTTTTTCGACCCAAAAGAAGCATAGAACATTTGCCACATTGAAATTCAAATGTTTTGCTTCACACACGGCTGCACACATTCCCGTACGTGATCGAAAGTGACAACAAAAGAACGCAATTAATTCCGGTTCAATCCATCCACATCCACCGACCATTGCTACCAGCGTCTCTATCGCCTTCGCACACTCCTTTCACTGCTACATCCCCGGTAACTATCTCCATCACCGTACGAGCCATCTCCATCTCCGTTCCAGAACTCATTCAAATCCATTCTATCCTCACCATCTGTGATAACGTCCTCTTACCCGCTAACACCACGTCATTTCCTTCCAACAGAATCGCTCCAACCACCGCCACTCAAGAGCCGGCGTCGCAAACATGACCGTTGCCACCGCACGTACAACGCTCACTGCCATCGCCCCCCTGACCGTCTACCCCGCCGCCTCCACCCCCCCCCGCTGATGC